CCCCCCACCCCATTAAAATACCAAAGACACATTGTGTCTAAGATTGTCATTTGTGGGAATGTCTTATGACTGCTGTCTAAGGATTGAAATGATCCTTTTAGAATCCCAGATTTCACTGTGATGTGAATCCTTAATGGAGCGGTCTGTTTAAAACCTCCACTTGCTATATGATGGTAATATGGATCCTAAACAGCATTATGAGTCTAAAACTGTACACCATGGCCTCTGTGACTAAAGCACCGTAACCTTCCTCTTTCCCTTAAATTGTGGTAAGACATCACAAGGCACATTTAATTACAACCCTTTTGATAAATACTATTATATACAAGTTATCAAAATAATTTCTGGGAGCCAGCTTCCCAAATATTTTTTTCTGTTTACATCTGTTAGTAAATAGTTCTTTTGCAGTACCTCTTGTGCTGTTCTGTAAATAATGAGGCTAAGTTTCCATTACATATCACCAAATGAGCTCAAGAATAGTCCTTGACATTTACATCCTGTACACTTTTTTTTTCTTTCTCTTGCAGATATATAGGTGCTGGAAGACTCCATCACTGTAGTCCTCGATCTTACAGCGCGTGTCCTCTCCAGAGCAGTCACCCGAGCATGATCCATGGTGGTCATCTCTCCTACCATTTCCCGGGAATTGGTATTCCGCACTCGTACCACGCCACATAAGGAATGCGTGAGTTCCCACCTATCGTGCCGAAAGAGACTGGCTGCTGTCGCATTGCTCTGAAATATCCTGTGAAAAGCCAAAAAAGACAAAGGCAGAATGTTAGAGTGTAAGTGTTAGGGATGTGCATCTCCATTACCGAGCTCCCATGCGATAGACTTCTCCATGTATTGCCAATGATCCAATACAGTAGAGATACCTACGAAGCAACTAATAATGTGATTCAAAATGATTCACCCTTACTGTGATGCAGTGCAATTTGACACAATTTGATTCAATACAATGAAATGCATTGTTGGAGATGCCTCTAAATTGCCCGAGACTCGGCCAAGAGACTTGGTGAGAATTGGCCTCTGACTGCAGTGGAGAACTGGAGATGAGAGATTGCGCTTCAGAAACAGTTTATAGAGGGAGAATCAATATAACTGTGGATATAGAAGAGACAGTGTGTGGCTCAGTGGGCTAAGCCTCTGTGCCTGTGGTCTGAAAGTCACTATTTTAAGCCCAGGCTCAGCACATCAATAGGTCCTTGAGCAAGGCCCATAACCCTCCCTGTGCACTGCTATGGGTGGCTGTCCTTCAAGGCCCATAACCCTCCCTGTGCACTGCTATGGGTGGCTGTCCTTCAAGGCCCATAACCCTACCTGGGCACTGCTATGGGTGGCTGTCCTTCAAGGCCCATAACCCTCCCTGTGCACTGCTATGGGTGGCTGTCCTTCAAGGCCCATAACCCTACCTGGGCACTGCTATGGGTGACTGTCCTTCAAGCAAGTGGGGGGAAGCATAAAGAGAATATCCCCATGGGGATCAATAAAGAATCTATTATTATTATAAAATTACTGGTCACCTTTCTAAATTATAATGGCATAGGGCCTCTACTAATACTTATATATTAATTAATTGGACTTTATCAATGCAAAGATGTTAGAAAGGAAGCATCCCAAGTTCATCACAAATTATATCTGGTGCTTTTTCAATCGGACGAGTCGCACCGTGACCTTTTATGTAGGTGCACCAATGCAAATCTGTGAATCTTACCAGACGAATCTTGAACTAAACTACTAAAACACTGATCAACCTGATTTATTCTGCTTATGTCTAACATCACAAGTACCAGAGGCAAGTAAATGAGACATTATTCTGAATTATTGGGTTCGGTATGTGAAAAATGGTTCCAGCTGACCCAGACACACAAGATCACAAACAATTTCCATGCCAGATTAATTTTTGTGAGTTTTCCATGTTTGAGAAATCTTCATATTTATGGTAAGTATGAGATCTTTTGCAGCAGAGCTGTTTCAGTGGGGAACTGAGAGAAACGTCTGTGAACATTAGACTGAGATAATCATAATACACCTGTGATATGGCTTGTAGTCACTTTTAGGCTTGTAGGTTTGTCATTTTGGATATCTTAACTCATCAAGGTGATATTAACAGATCCGGCCAGCATCGTTTTATATAGTCAGAGGTAGTTGTGAGTGTGGAGTATTATTTTTTTTAAATACCAGATCTCATGGGCAGCTGATCAGCATAAAGATGGCTTCCTGTCCTCCCATCAAGGTAGGAGTCCACAAACTGGCAGTGGTCCTCACCATGTCCCGTTTGGTCCCCAATGTTGTAGAACCTTCCTGCAAAGGTGTCCACATGAATTGCTATGAATGAACCGCTACACCGAAGTTGGTGGGTCAGCATGTTTAGTTTGTTATTCAAGTCATGAGTTGTACTCAGTCACTATCTTCTAGCTAATTAATTATCTACTCAGCTAGAATGAAAACCTGCATAGCCAGAGTTACTGTCTAAGAAGTCCTCAATTCCTACCATAAACATTTTGTCTGTGTCTTTTTTCTGTTTAATAGACCAACCTGAGAGAGTGTCACCCAGGTATATCTTGTATCTCAGGGAGTTGCAAAGTTGGATGCCGACAAACTTGCGGTACCACGTCCTCTTCACATACTGCTTCCCGTTGCACTCCGAGTAGATGTCAGGCCTGAATGAATACTCCGTCCAAATGGCGGTCTTCCCTGAAGGGAGTCGGTTGTGGTGAGAAAGTGTGGGACGGGTCAGCCGGTTGACAGCTGGCTCATAAATATTAAAAGCATTTAAGCATAAGAAATGGGAAGATGCCCAAGGCTTTACCTGTCTGGGGGTCAGCTGTCACATGAAGAGAGAAAGCAAAACACTATAAATGCACAGAATAGACATCTATATACAATACGAACTGCAGAATTTACTGTGGATAGCAATTAAAATAAAGATACTTATTTACGACGCACACACTGAAATCCTCACACCAGCCGGAGCTTTTTAGTAGCTGCTGTCTCACACACCCATGTTTTCTGCAGAATCTTTCAACATCACTGGGATATTTTGGTAATCTCTCCCTAAGCACTGGAAGGGGGAGGGAGGAGCTCGAACAGAACTAAAAACCTCCATCTGTTTTGAGGTCCTCTGCCCTACTATTTCCAATACATTCCAACGTTGTCCTGTTGGGTTAATGACTGTTTTTCCCTTTTCAAACACCACAGGAAACACGAGGTGATTCCACTTACGAATCTCCCTTTTAATCAACATATTTACAGTGTGTTGATGCCATTGTAAGTCTATACTTGTGCGGGAGAGCTGGCAGGATGGACCGCTATGATGAATCTATGGGTCTCAGCATGGAGACCAAGGTTATGAAAATAAAAACAACATGCTGAAGGAATTAAGTTAATAAGCGGCAGTTAATTGTACATATCTCTGAGCGGGTAACAGTGAGGAAAATTTAACTGGCATGACTGGTTTTTCTGGCATGTGGCCTCTACTCACCATAGTGTAGTAGTCATTTGTGCTATTAAAAATGTTTGAAAATGTTAAAAGAACAGTAATTGCTCTTATTTTTCCAAACTTAATGTATGTAAGTGCATTTAGGTGAAATATTGGACAGCATAAACGGCAGCAGGATTTGTTGCCCTGATCTGTACCTGACTCTGTGTTGAACGACACAGGTTCTGTAGGAGGGCCCGATCCAAGTTCGTTCTTGGGTTTTACCGTGAATTCATAACTGTAATGACAGAAAGAATGTAAACCATGGAATGTTTGCACAGATAGTAGACCAAACACAGATTTCAGTACAAAAGCGTGAAAATATAATTTAAACTGTGACATTAAAATACACAACAGAATGGAAATATATTCCGATTCATAACTATATACTATAATACTGTAAGAATAATGGCTCATGAGCTCTCTAGAACAGCGATACTTGATATTTTTATCCCTCAGACAGCCTTGAGAACGCGCCAGGACCTCCTGTTAATGGCTCTTCCATGTGAGATGATCAGATGGTGTGATGTCCCACATCTCCCTGTTCATAAAAAATCCCTGGATTATATTGTGTCTGTCATATTGTGCCAGACTGTTCTAGATTCAACCCTCATTAAAATCCCAGCGACATAGGGCTTCCTTGTTCTAGTCAGGTCTGTATCTAATGGAATATCAATGGTCCTCCAGACATCGGCCAGCGTCAGGTATTCCATTCTTCACAAGTGATTATTGCAGCAGTTCTTGAAATAGGTTTGACTTGGAAATAGTCTTCCAGGAGGGGCATATACAGGGACGGGACCACAGGGACACTGGCCCCAGCTGAAATCTGATTGGTCTCCATAGTGCACCCCCCCCATCCCATTACTCACTGATTCAGCACCCTAGCTAATGATAATGCTCGTCTGTCTGTATGAATTTTGCCCCCTCTTGCATGCCTTGTGTTTCTCCACCAGTACCTGCTCTCTGGTTTAAGATTCTCCACGGCGGTGTGCGTCTTGTTGGTGGTGAGAATGGAGACCTCTTTCCCAGCTGGTCCTTTAGTCGTGGAAATGACTTCGTACTCTTCAAAAAGGAGTCGGGAAAGCCAGAATTAGCCAGTTTCAAAATATTTTCTTGCAACTATGTGTTTGTGTGTTTTTTTTTTTTATTTTTGCAGTGCAAGAGCTTTAATTTTACAGACACTCCTCTACTTTCTACTTTCAACTTACGAACTTTCAGACATACGAACAAAGAGGACTGTAAGTCCAAATTGTGTTCATTGGGCTCCCGTTTCCTGTCCACAATATCTATTTTTTTATTCTGCTCGCCAATCCCGCCTAGTACGCCTTCTGGCCGCTACTCCCGCCGCGCAGCAGCATAGCGTGCGTACTCCCAGCATCCTAGTTATTTGTACTTGCGTATACGCTTAAAATGATGTTGAATAACGACTTACGAACATTTCAAGTTACAAACGACCATTCGGAACGTATCTCATTCGTAAGTAGAGGAGCGTCTGTACATTATGCAGCTGGCTACACACGTTGGCTTCCTGCTCCATTAATGTGACACAGATGTGGCATTAAAATTGAATGTACTTATTTTACTAGCCAGGAGTAAATACCCATAAGCAGACATTAAGAACATGGAAGCTGATATAATATTCAGTGCAGAATGCCCAAAGTGCCTTTGTTGACATTGAGGAAGAACATGTCTACCTGTGGTCTCATTGTCTGATTTCTCCCAGTCCAGTATGACAAAAGAGGGACATCCTTCCACTGTGAGCACAGTGAGGTTCGAGGGAGGCAGCCTGGGGGGGCCGGTGACATTCTGCTCCATCCCGTACTCCTCTGGGAAGTAACTCAAGGAGTTGGTGATGGAGCAGGGTTCCTCTGGTTTCTTGCCGGGCCAGTATTTCACATGTGGGGCTGAATTCAAAGAGAGACTCAGGACTTAATCTAGATAATTTACATCCCTCCTCCAGTGCTCATTCCCTGTGTAATTAACCTGAAAATAATACTAATTATTATATTATTATAATCATAAAAATGTTTTGATTATTATTTTAAATTATTTGTTTCCTTAATATTCCAATATTCAATTTTTCAGTTTTTCATTTTTCGTTTGTTTGCACCATTTAACTCACTTGCACTGTGTCTTTACACTTAGCTTTTTTCCCACTACTTCAGTGTTAGTACTGCTGTATGAACAAGAATTTCCCCCTGGGATCAATGAAGTCCATCTTCATCACTTACACATTATGTATTTTTTGTGTTTTTTTTTTTTTAACAGGTGTTAATAATAAAATAATGGTCCTGAAATATTTTTGGTGAAAAGGGGCGAGGAGAAACATTACCTACGTAGCGCTTCTTGCCCATAGCGTCCACGTCTTTGGCAGGGAGAGAGGTAAACACTGAAGAGTTGTCCCAGATGTCGTCCCGGCTACCTGTGAGAAAAAGGAAGGAATTAGTCTCCAGCTCTGTGCCATTGAGCCATTAACGTTCTGCACTGGAAGAAAAACAAGTTTTTTTTGTGCTACACTGTCAGTACCAAGTGTCACCATTTAAAACCTGATTGTGAGCGAGAGCTTCCTGGCTTCCTGGCTTCCTGAAGCCCTTTGCTGACCTGCGGCCTGCAGCTCTACTGCTGTAAAGATGAACATCTGCTCCGGAGCTCTCCCTCTAAAACCCTCCCTCTACTTGTCGGACCCCCTATAAAGTCCAGTAAAATCATACCATCGACTGCAGGAGGAGTAGCTATGCTTGGCTTCTTCTCAGTGATGGGTTTCTTTGGCAAGGGAGTAGATTTTGGCTTTGGGATGGGTTTTAAACTTGGTTTCTTGATGTCATTGGCATTGTCTGGAGAAGACAAATAATGGTCACTGATCTTAACCTATAGTCCTTATCCTATAGCCTTTAATTTGTTGTTAAAAAGCCTTTAAATGTCATACTTCTTCTCCACTATACATATATGCCGGCATTAGGAATGACATTATGAATATGAGGGAAAACTCGAGTCTTTGCCTTTGGTCCCCGGCTTCCCTGTCAGGTCCAGCTTCTTCTTGTAGGGTGTTTTTGGGTGCTGAGCGGGGGACCCTGAAAGTGGGGGGAATGTTTAATTAATGACAAAACATGCACCTCACTCGGTTCTCTGGGCTGATTCGTGGACAAAAATTCCCTTATTTCCCATCACAAATTCTAAACAGTGGGACAATCTACCAGAAGACTTGTGGACTATACGAGACTACACTCTTATCATCGATTTAACAAGCATGATGTTCTGTGATGAAAGTCTGTTCCTAAAAATGCAAAAGAAAAACGAGGTAAAAAATGGAGTAACGCGTGCAACAAGAGTCTCCAGTGTTTCTACACATTGAGATTTATCAAGAAAGAAATGAAAAAACCTGGTCCTAATTAGCCTTGTGCTGTAACCCGGCCAAAGTAGCTCACAATCAAGGTATTGTGCTAGTTCCAGGAAGGATACAGGAAAATGCTGATAGGTGCATAAAACTCTGTCCAGCAGCGAAATTGTATAATTTCAAGTATTTATTTACATCAATGTGTGCTTTTTTCACTTTTAAGAAATGGACCTGACAAGTTTGTCATTAATCGGTTGCAAAAAAGGAAAATTACATTGATGTGTCGATGTAAATTCAGTAAGTACGGAGGAATTTTCTGTCTTACTGCCAAAAGAACATTTCATGCTGTCTATTCACTATTGTGTGAGCCAGTTGCTTTATACTTCATAGGGAAAAACAATTTTGTTCACTAATTTGTTCATCAACAATCATGTGGTGTAGATTCTGTTGTGAATTCCACTGTTTACGCTGAAAGATGACATATTTGGAAAGCAAAATCAGCGGTAATCACGACTGGACCTCCAAAACATCTTTTTTTTTCTGTGTGACTACTTGTCTTAAAATATTCACTAAACAATCCATTTTAGATATTTGAAAATCCTTTCATAAACCTTAATGTTATCCCTGTTTACTTCTTACTCAAACAGTATATACAGGTCAAACTTTCTTGTGCAGAATTATATAATTATCTTTGAATACTGACTATATAAATAGAACAAGCTCTGATTTGATTAATTGAAAACACTTTATCTGTATTCATATTGTGCAATTCTGACATTAGTCAGAAAAGCTATTTTAATAGCTATAATATAAATGAATAACAGAGAATATTCTCTGTACTGAATTTCATGCTGTGTGCTGTAAACTTTTGTAAGCCAAAATAATATTAGGAACTCCGGCCTAGTTCATGTTTGTCACCAGTCCAGGAAATATCTTGCAATAATTCATAGTATATTGTAGGTTGCTGTTTGATGTTTAGAGTACTGAAGTAAAGCAGTTAGAGACACCATCAAGGTTCCTCCACAGGGAAGTATTCCATTCTGAAGAATGTTGTTTATAGTTTCAATGCTTGTGAGCTAATCAAAGGCACAGAGGCCTAAAAACATTGGATGGATCCCAGGAAAATCTGTTACACGTCGGGCCTTAAACACAATCTCAAGGTCTGAGTAGATTATAATCCCATCAAAGATAAGGGGACCATAATTTCTTTTCTCTAGCATTGGAGTAAGAGGTGAAAGAAGCAAGAATAAATAAGTTATACTTTCCAGTTAAGATAATATCCCCAAATGATTAGATATGTATCACATTTCAGTCAAGTTACTGAATTTTATTACGATTTATCAATTTCTTTTGCTATTCCAGCATGACCTAAACTGTGATTCCATGAAGGGTTTTTGAGTAAAGCTCATGGATTTTTAACAATGCCATATATCAGTCAATTTCCCAAGGCTTTGGCTCCTTTGATTCATGGCCCTTGGGTTCCATGTGTTCAGTGCTATAAAAAGCACCAAAATGATGGCTAGGAGAATTTCAGAAATCAGAAATTCTTATATTAGAAAAACATGCAGCTCTTTTCCTATGCAATATCTCTCTTTTATGAGTTTGAACTACAGAAACGCCATCTCTTTATCATGAAGATAAACGTAGTAATGATTTTGAGAGCTGTTAATAATATGGCTGTTTTATTTTATTTCACTTCTATTTTTCCAATGTCTAGGTGAGTAACTTAATATTTCCACTAAAGGAAAAATGTTCTTGAACCTCAGGTTGAAAATCATTTTATATTTACGTTTTTACAGGTATAATGTGACTTTTTTATTATTTTCCCATCAATACTGAGGTGCTGGACAGTTGCAATAAATTAGCTAAATCTGGACTGATGTCAGTTGTTTTACTGAATAGAAGCAAATGTCAACCATTTGGAGTCCTGCTCCAAACACTCATTTCAAGCCTTGAATAGCAGAGGGATTTGAAAAACATATTGCCATGTGTTTGGGCCATTAGCCTGGTCTTTAGGTAGCTTTAAGCTCCATGATTCACAAAATGTAAAGAAGCCAAGGAAGAATATATCGCTCCGCCTTTTACATTACAAGGTATCTGTCAAACCAGATAAGCACTCCACAATTTATGGTTCCACAATATACTAAGGACTTGCCCACAACAGAAATAGAGTTTATAAAAAAAGTATCCACCCCTCTGGTCTCTTTCCACAATTTGTTCTGCAACAACATGAAATCAAAATAGAGTTCACTGGAATTTTTGGACCATCTCTCTATTCAACAAAAAGTACTGTGAATATAAATTCAAAATCAAAAACATGAATATTGTATAAGGGTTCACCTCTCTGAATGGTGAAGCACCCATTGGCAGAAGATTGAGCTATATTTGGTAAGTCACATTGTTGCAAAATGTCTCAGGCTCTGTTAAACTGGACAGAAGCCATTAATGAATTATTATTTTCAGTTCTTGTCATCGATTCTCAACTGGATTTATGTCCATGCTTTGACTTGGTTCATAACATTGCTGGCTGTAAAAGTCTAATGCAGCTTTCATTGACTTCAGAATTGTCTGTCTTCTCCCGGTTCTCAAGACTTTTGCAGGTTTTCCTCTGCATCTTGTGACATCCATTTTGCGCTCTATTTTTACAAGTCCACAGACCAAACACTATCTTCTACTCTGCCTCAGACCCTCCAGAACCTCTAATAAACCCAAGACTTGACGTATGTTTTTCCAGCAATATATTTTTGTCACTCTCTCGCCCATTAAAATGACATATGTGAGATGACCAAGCTGTGATTGTCCCACAATGAGGGTTTCCCATCTATGACATGGAAAACTGTAACCTCTTGACATGCACTGTAGGCGTCTTGATTGCACTGACAAGTGTCCTTTTCACATGCAAACTCTGAGGATGGTTCTCATCTGGCTTCTGAGGATGGCTTGTTCTAGGCTGTTTGGCATTTGTACCATATTCTCTCAATTATCTTCATGCAGGATCAAGCTTCAGGGCATATTCAGTGCTTTTGATTTTCTTACATCCTCCCATTGAGCGGTATCCTGGAATTCCGTGGAATCTTCTTGGTCTACATGATGAGGCTTTTGTTTAGCAGAACTGACCGTGGGACATCCTGGGAACATTGGACGTGAATTTGTGTAAAACACCTTGCGCACAGATGAACTCCATCCAAATATCGATTTAATTCTGAAAACAATATTTCAAGCTGATGAGAAAGAGGAAATTCCAGTGAATCGTTCAATTTCATGTTGACGCACAATAAGTGCAAGTCCAAAGGGGATAAATAGTTGCAATTGACAAGAGCTACGGCTCAAAACAGAGATTATACAACAATTCACTGATATGAGACACATCATATAAACAAGATAATGTAAAGTAAGGGATGGATTGCAAAGTCATGCTTGATACACAAGATGCAACATGCACACATCAAAGCACATAATGGATCGTAACCTGAAATCTTTTTCCTAAAAATGTCGTCACTCATTTTTGGTGTACGCCCTGCAACGAAAGCACTAGATCTTTCTGGCAGCAAAATTTGGTTCCATTAATTTTTTGATCAAAATTTAGGTGCCATTAAGGTTTTCCTTAGAAACTCTGTCGTCTGACGTCTGTCACTGTTTCCTTATTTACAAATGATAATTAGTCATGCTGCAGGGCAAACCACCCTATCATTTATTTACATTCTACAATTTGCTGAATATGTCTAAAAGGCCAGCATCTATAGATTCCTGGTTATGACCTCAGTAAGCTCACGACAGCTTGGAGCAGAAGCTCACGTGGACATAGGAGACCTTGGGAGGACGAAAACAGCAGGGTGACAAGCATGACCACACAGCGACACACAGGACAGGCAATATGGCAGCAGGAGCACAGAGCACTGCGGTCTGCAGAGATGGTTTCACAGACCAGGGATGGAGGAAACACATAAAGAGGTAAAGGGCTGCTTTTACCATTTTGCAATCTGTGTTTGGGATACAAATTTCCCCTATGGCGTTCGCCGTTGACTGTGGGGGGGGAGAAACAGTGTTATGGGAAAGAAACACCTGTTAGACCAAATAGTCAAACAGAAATGAAAGGAATGTGGCACATTGTCCCTGTTAAAGAACCAGAACTACAATTTCCTTCACTGAGCCGCCTAAAGACACTTGTTTTTGTTAGTAAATGCCAAACTACATCTGTAAAACAAAAGCACCGTAAACATGATGCACTTCACCTTGAATGGAAATGCCATGGAATTAGTAAGGAATATGTCTTTCTCATATGATATGCTTCAAAACAGACCTCTATGAAGATCTGACATCGCCAGTGAAACCATCCTAAATCAGTATTTGAAAGCAAACACGTGGTTTAAGCTGTTAAAGGAAACGCGATGGTTTCCACATTTCCACATGCTGAAACAAAAAAAAAAAAAAAACTGACAGTGCACCTTCAATTGCTTATTTTGGTGCCTATTATGCAGATCCCAGTCTGCCTGTCATACTGTAATAGTATATATCATTTTACTAACCTATGTCATTTTAATAACCATCCATAGAAAAGGGATGGCATCCAATACCAAGAAACAGTCTTTCAAAGGATCTCCTTAGAAATGATGGAACACGGTAAGACTCACGCTGTGTGAGGAATTCTGACTGTGGTGCACTGCAACACTGCGGTACAGCCTAAAAGGGATTTAATGTGGTGCTAATGTAGCGCTTACAGCAAATGAGAAGTATCCAGTACCAACTGTTATATGCAGTAGCCTGAAGTAAAACGCCCAGTAAGGTGATAAAGAAGCTGACAGGAATTTAAAGTTGGGTACAGATGTGCACTCAGAGAGGAAGGCAGACATGCTTTTACCCCCTGGTTTCATCACGGCCTGGGAAGTGTTAGCTGCTCTAGGTGGAGCAAGTTGTCTCCTGCCATTAGGGGCGGGCAAAGGGAAACCCCTCCCCCGGAATACCGAGCTCCTATTTGATTGCAAGATGGCAGCCGAAGGAACTCGAGCCACGGTGGAGGTCGCATTTCTGGGGATGGTTTTACCTGGATGAGAAGAAACAACAGCGGCTTGAGTTACAAGAGGTCTTTGTGGGCCTTTTGAGAAGCCTGTATCTCAGGCATGACGGACCCTGGCAACAGACCTAGATTAATAAACAGTGATGTCAATAAATGGGCATAGCTCAGCCAGCTTTGGTTCTGCAGAGCTGAGGTGGCCCCTGCATACAGTACGTGCTTATAAAGCAGGACTCGAGTCAAGATCAACAAAGCGGTGCATTGCTCTCCATGTACGTCATGATCACGTGCAAAATCCTGCACTGGTTCTTCAGCATCATGGCTGATCTAATAGTAACAGGTCAATTAAAAGTAACGTGTTCATTAAAAGCAAGTGTATTCACAGCATCGTCAACTTGCTTGTTTAACAATTACAGTAGTTCGCTGAAGCCAAACATATTGCTAAAAGGTGAGTGAACAAATAGTTGCGTATTCATGGCATTTGTGGCACAAAACAGGACGAAAACCACAAAAGTATCTCACACACGTCATACAACATATAGACACAGGAGGTTTTCAGGTCGACAATGTTGTAGAACACAAAAGGAGCCGGAGCTCATGCAAGGCAGAATGGGAAACGGCATGTCCATATATGGATAAACAAAAGCAACGTATACTGCAGACGCATGGATTCCTGTGACAAAAGAGACGAATGGGGTTGTAGCTGCAGGAGTCTGCACATAGAAACAGGAAGCGATTAGGTGATCAGCACAGTGACTTTACCATTACCACCGTATTTACTGTCAGCTGCCTCAGCGGCCGGCTCAGGCTGGGAGAATCCTTTCCTTGATTGGCCGGCAGCTGTATGAGAAACACCCAATTATGTGAGAGAGCTGCCAGCTAAACCCCACCTTCTACCATAATCCTTCTAAACTGGGATGGTTTTTAGGTCATAAATTTAATTTTTCATCAAAAATGCTAAAAAAAATAATCTAATTGATGAATTGTATTTATATCAGATGTCTTACATAGCCTGTGATTTTATTGCCTGTAACTATGATTTCGTCAGAGTAAGAACAGAACAAAACAGATATGTCTGAAATTACTCAAGGCAGCGATAACTCTATATAATGTGCATGCAAGGGCGTAGATTTGGGTATGTACAGTATGGTAGGGGTGTGTCCCTACCAATATCGCAGAGTATCATGTTTGTTTCGGGTGGGGTTCTGGGCTGATTCGGTCCCTACCGATGTTGAAACCAAACCTACGCCCTTGTGTGCATGTAATTAAACTTTTAAAATTTATAGCACTTTAAGAAGAGTTTTTTAAAATATATATATATATATATTGTTGCTGGATAGTTTTCAGTGAATCCTCCATTAGGCAAAAAGGTCTAGGAGGGTGAGATTTACCCAGGGGGATGTGAGTCTTGGAGGTGTAGGGGAACCTGGGTGGGATCCGGCCCTGAGACCTTCCATTGTTTGAAGGGTGATAAGGGAGAAGAGTGGCAGAGGTAGGGAAGGGTTTGATGGACAGGAGCTGGGGCAGGGCAGGAGGAATGTCTTTGGATGGGGATGACACATTTATAACAGTGTTTGCACTTCCTAAATGGGGAAAAAAAAAAACAAAGAGGAGCTACAATTCAGGGAAGTTTGGTCATTGGTGTATGGAAAGAAGATCAATGTTCAGATAAGCACTGAAAAGCCATGAAGACACACATGAATACCCTTTCTGCTTCAAAAACAAGGTATTCATCGGGTATTCAGACTTGTCTGAGTAAGTCTTAAAACATGTGCCAATCAAAATATAATGTTTTGGATTCTTTTCCTGTTACTTTTTTGACAGGCGCTGAGCATTCATTCAGCGCACAGAAAGGGCAAAACACTAAATAAAGAAAATCAGGATTCATTTTGCTTTCAGGTTACTTATCTGAGGAATTTCACATAAACATTGTACAGCTTAAAGTGCAGAGAGCAGCTAAAATGAGAGAGAAAAAAAAGCGTTTCAATCAGGGATATTAAACATGACCACAAACAGAGAAAAGGGCTGGGTGATCTCTGCAGCTCTTCCTGGAAGACAAGAAGAAGGTTAAAGCACCAAAACACAGCCTTCTAAGCATGCTGGACGGACATGCCACGTGCTCAGACCCAGCCACAGCACGGCGTGAAAGGACAGCAACTCTGTAAACAAAAAGCATGGGGATGGAAGATGACAAGTAGAACAGCAATGAGGGTGAGAATAAATGCTAGATTAAATGAAGGAGGCTCATGAAAAGCTAGATTGACGTGTTTATCAAATTTTAGACACTGATGGGTATGTTTTTCAAAGCAATGGAATGTATTAACAGCAGTAGAACACAGAGTGAATAAATCAAACTGTGTACTCAGATTTATTGCTTGAAAATAATAAAATAAAATGCATTATTATTGTTGTTTTTGTTTTGTTTTCTAATACTACTACTACTAATAATAATAATAATAATAAACTTTCATGTAATTTAATTATTTTCAAGCTAAAACATTGGAGCACACATCCGCATGTAATTATTGTTATTATTATCAGTAGTAGTGATGGTGATATTGTGTATAATTGAAGCAACATTAAGAAGGAACCCTCACATCACAATCTGCGTCATTTTTTGACTAATTGCATATTTTATTTCCCCTACTCCTCCTGGGGGGTGCTGCCTGGAGCCCTCAATCTATCAAGATGTCCAGCACACCCTGCAACATGTGACGTCGCCTCTACCAATGACGTCCGTGCATCCAGCTCGCCATTCTGCCTGTGTCATATTCCTTGTATGACCCGCTCCCTGCCTTCTGGCTGCCTGCCGATTGGAGGGAGCGGTGGCACCGGTTTGCCATCTCCCCCCTGCTCCCCGTTTGTGTCTCAAATTTTACTGTATCTGACTCTCCCTGCCGGCCCCTGGAGGATGGGCTCCCCCTTTGAGTCTGGTCACTCCCAAGGTTTCTTCCTTCTAGGGAGTTTTTCCTTGCCACTGTCGCCTATGGCTTACTCACTGGGGGCTTTGGGTGGGGATGCTGTAAAGCACTTTGTGACGATGTAATGTTGTGATAATGCGCTATACAAAAATACATTTGTTGTTGTTGTCATGAAAGGAAAAGTGACAAGATTATTTTTTTGGAAAGATGACTCCATGATGAAGGAGGTCTAGCAAATGGGGCAAGAATGGGAAGAGAGCGTAAAAAATGAGGGATGACATGGTGAGCGAAGGAGCGACCAGCCGCACCTCACATGGTGGCCTTAGCATGAGAGTCAGCACCTCCTTTAGGAGACCAAAAATCATGCTCAACGCTCTGCGGTGGGCGGAGCCCTCGGAGCTGGCTAAAGAATATGACCCACAGTCTTGGGACTTGCTTTATGTCCGCTAAAGGCATGCCAGTACACAGCCACTAATCTCTGAGAAGGCACCCATCCAACCAACAGCGCCATGAACAGGGCTAAGCGATGGCAGGCAGTCAATGAAGCTGCGTGGCTCAACAAAGACAGTCTTTCTGTTACCCAGTGGCAACTGTGGCCCTTGAGGAGGGATAGATCTTGGGATAGGAGAGATTCCAGGACGGTCTTCAGGAGCCACTGCGGAGAACAAAGCAGGTCCTCGAAAAAGAGACAGGTAGAAAGTGTTCCCATCTGAGAAGTGTCCCTCAGCACACTAAGAATGACTCAGAGATGTTAAACACCTGTATCCAAATGCACTGCTAATCGTGTGATTAAAAACAGGTCCGATTTCGGGGGAAATCTGCAGTAACCCCCAATTAACTCCTGCCACATCACATTTGGCCAGATGTGGGGAACTGGACAGGAACTGGCAAGGGAAATAAGACAGTTACCCAAAGATGTTCTGGGACCTCCGGGGAACCTAGGGTTCTTGTGCAGGGGGGCCAGTCTGGTCTGGTTCCTGTTATGAATGGCTGGGGGTGGGAGACGCGTAAATAATTATGGAGATATTGGCCTTCCACTGGGGTAAAGCAACAGGACTGGACAAACACAACACTGCAAGACAAAGGAACCCATCCACTGCTGCAAACTGTATATTATTTCACATATTCTCCTCCTGGAATTTGTAATTAGATATATTTGATTAGTAAAACAGAGTCTGTGCTGTTAAAATAAAAATGTACAGTTCAGATAATGAAGAGCATTTAAGCTTTCAATATACTCTGAATATGACTTTATAAAGCGATCTCACAAAACCAATGATCTGATTGATAATAAACCGTACTGTTATAAATATACAGGCTAATATTTTATTTATATGATGAATACAGTGATTTTTATGGTTTAAAGTAAGTAAAATTCATAGCTCACCTGGTCTGGGTGGAAAAAATGCTTGCGGTCCAGACAGATTTGGCTTCTAAAGTAAAAAAAAAAATATATATATTATTAATTCCAACTCAGTAAAAAATTTATGTCTGGGAGAGCTTCTGTCTTGGAAACATGTACAGTCTTTTTCTAGTATCTCCAATCTACTGGGGTCTTCTCCTCCGGAGGATGGACAGTGACACCAGAAGTTCCCCGGTTGGCCCATTGCCTTAACGTTGTCAGAATGTTTCCGCCGGAGGCTCCAAGCCTCTTGCTCCTTCGAAAAGACCGGCAGGCAGAAAAGCAGGCCGACCACAGAAGTCTGCCAGGCAGAGTGCCCCCCCGTGGGGAATGGGTGTGCAGGCAGGGGGAGCGTGGAGGTCACGACAGGTAGACTGCCTGTCAGACCCAGAATTACACGCTGGTATCGGGTTCCGCCACAGCTGGGGGTTCATGAAGCATGACTCGCTGCTACCTGACAGGTTACAAAGCGTCTCAGACGGAGACGTAGCTACGAGGAGATCCGGAATCAGAATGATCCGGAAGAGCACATGTTATACTTCAAATCCCTGCAGTTTCATCAGCCTCCGGAGCTTGTTTAGTTGTTTTCCATTGGGAAGCACAGATGGAAAAGAGGAGTAACGAAGAAAAAAAAACATGTATAATAATGACAAAACAAGACCTTGCAGTCGCTGCCTGTAAAAAAGATTAATTTGCTCCCAATGTTTTAAAGTCTTTGCACACAAGACACCCAAAGAACAAGAAAAACAGAATACCACTGGGTTTCCACTTGGAGTCCTTGGCATGTAGGGATCTTGCATGCTTTTCTCTGAAAAACAAGAGAGAAAAATGGATAATTGGTGCAAGGCTAATTAGTAAAGTATTTGCAACAAAGGAAAAATCTTAGATGAAATACTGAAACACATTACCATGATATATACAATACAATCTGTGCATGATTGTCATTTAACTAGAGTTGCTGTCTATGATCATTATTTGCTGGGCAAATATGTTATGAGTTTGGATGGTATGGATTGAATGTATATATGGTATCTTTATGGTGATGGTTAGACCACCGCATCATGCAAGGAGATGTGACTGTGATAGAGAGAGAGGTCCCAGGTCCTGGGATGTACCGGTCATATCGGTGCTATGAACGACAGGCTTGCTCCACTGGCCACTTTCGTCTTCCTTGTTGGCGCGGACACCGAATTCGTACGGCGTGTGGGGCTTTAGGTTATCAACCACGGTGTCGGTGGTGGGGCACATCTCATAGTTCCACTTCTTGTTGCGCTCCCTGTAGCGCACGGTGTAGTGGCTGCAGGCCGATAAAACAAAGCAGAAGCCTTCAGGCTGTGCATCTTAGCAAATCGCACACTTCGCATCACCCACAGAAACACGCCAAGCTATCCATTTAGTTGGCTGGATAATCGCTGGTGTAATTTCATCTGTGTGCCATTACTCAAGTGTACAACAGCTGTTCTTCCTCTAGGAACTGAAGAAGCAGCCATTTAGTCTTTTTAGCCCATAGCATCATTCGCTAGGCCGCTTTCTATCATCCTCCTGGAGCAGCCTTGTATCGTACAACATGCCACGGTGATTTTAATATCGGGCACTGGGGCCAACTCATTTTCGCGAAGTCTAGTAAAAGGTTTCGGTGATCTTTCTGTCAGAGTCACGGGCTCTGGTTCTATTCGTTCATATATTTTCTTTCAGCGTGAAATAATACAGACTTTAGTAGTTGGGCAGTATAAAGAGGGAGCTGGAATTACAGACATAATAAGGACTAGAAGGGCAGTAGACACATTCAGGCCGGCTGAGGTCAGGCTTTCCAAAGACATTTCCAACGTTCTCCTTTCGGGAGAAAAACACTCGAGTGAAAGACAGTTAAAGAAGAATGAAAACAGCAAGCTAGTTGATCCCACAGTCCCTTGCACCCGTACACTGGTGTCACTCACACACCTGCAGGGGGAAAAAAACACATTCTTCCCTTTTTTAATAGGAGGGGTTTGAAATTTTCCCTGAAATGCATGTTCTTTATTTAGGTTACATGATGTGCTACATTGACAAAATAGCTTTAATCTGTTCACTTTATATACATAACAAGTGCCATGTGATGTGTGCGTCATTTGTACTAAGTACTGTATGCACAGATCATTGTATAATTGGATTCGATGCTAGGAAGACTGCCAGGTGCTGGTTGTAAAGGTTAGCTGTTTGCCTCCCGCTCTGTCCTGACAGACTTTATTACAGAACAGCACAGTGACGGGGATTTGTGCCTGAGCTTTCTGAACATGCAGGGAGCTCAAGCAGAAACAGAGCATTCATATCCATGGGAGAAAGAGCTGTCGCCACAATGGTGACTAAGAACAATGTTAAGGTTTATACTTGGTCTCCACAGAAAGACGTGCAAGCTTTCAAAAAGAGAATGTGCCTAGCGTAATTAAAGACAGCAGAAGTCAGGGTCCTTATCATATTACCACCAGGATTACATTACAGCAGTGAGAAGATGGACGGATGGATGGATGGATGGATGGATGGATGGACGGACGGACGGACGGATGGACATAATGTGCCAATATGACAGCAAGAGCAACATATTAAAACAAGAACTTCCACTGAAAAATTAAAACATGACTAGATCTGTCTGTATGGTTATCTAAATGTTCTGCTGGTAATACTTCACTGCATACCCATCCTCCAGACAGTCATTCATGATGTTTCCTTGAAAGGGTGTATGCAGTATGGCTCCCCAGGACAGCAGCACTGAGGTGGGTGTCACTGTGCCAATCACCAGGTGCAGAGGCCTCTCCAGGTCAACTTGTCCTGTGCAGTTTGAAGGTCAGAGGTCAAAGGTCAGGTAAGTTTTATTTTAGCTGACATATTACAAAGCCACAAATAATCAGTCAAATTCCCTGTATGCGTGAGCAATAAACCTGAATCTGATAGTTGTGTTACACACCGGTACAGTGTTTCTTTACGTCGTAGGGTGGAGCAGGCTGTACTGCGACCAGGTACTTAGGCTCTGCATCTAAAGAAACAGAATAACAGTCTCATTGCATATGCACATTTCAAAAGTTCATGTATGTCATTGTCCTTAGAGGGACACACTGATAATGTCCTGCACGCATCATGTAGTTTCAAAATGTATGGCCATCCAGAGCTGCTGACAGCAATAATGGGTGCTGGGCTGTTATTCTCTGGGCTTGAATCTCTTTTCTATATGTTGAAAAGTTTTCTTTCAAAAGAACCTCAAAGGATGTGACAGCTGTTCTATGATAGGAAAAAACAATAAAAATGACCCTTTTTCCACTTCCATCTCTGAACTCGATTCGATTTCAAGTATTAGCAAGTACCCACAGTAGCTCTTTATTTATAGCTCTATATTTATTGGTTTCATGTAAATGGAGATTTCTGAATAAGGCAACATGTCATTGGCAGCGTGCATTTGTAAACATCAGAGAAGCATGATAGTTAACAGTATAGACACATAACATCGTTTCTGCTTCTTGTCCTACAAGAGATCACCTTTGTATTTACCAGACCTAGTAACTGGATTGCCTTAGTTAGCTGTGTGTTTTGTGATAAACTGGAAAAGAATTTTTGGAAGCACAACCCAGTGTTATATCAGAAGAAATGAGTGCAGATTATTTGGTATAACTACCAAAGTTACGGCAGAGTCGAGTGATGACTGATACTCTGAAAAGGTTTTATCCTCCGTGATTTTTCATGTTTTTGAAGAATTAATGGGAAACATATGAGAGTAGACTCACCCAATAATAAACATTGGCCCTGGGATATTCCTTTCACTTTCATAGCAGCAAAAAGCACTTGAGAAAAATGAGCTAGTAATGATGATTAATGCTATGAAGGAATTCTGAGAGAAGAGCACTAACACGTGGGCTACTTGGTGTGAGCGGTGAAGCTCCAGCCGTCCCAAGCAGCACCTCACTGCTTCTCGAGGTCACAGATGACAGATGAGGTCATCACATCAAGGCAAGTGGAATGCGAGCTCCAGTTTTTCTGCTGTTGGACATGCACTGTCTTGCTGTCTCAGAAGTATCAAATGCCTCTGGGTCCCTGAGGTAAGATCTGAGACCTATCCATTTCCCTGATGCTCTGCTTAATGATACGTTAAGTCCATTTGTCCACCTTTCAGCTATGTGATTATCACACAACTCATATTTTCCATGTTGTTCTCACAGCCCCCAGCCCCCCTCACCAGCCAACTCACCCATCTCTGCCTCATAGAGCTCCCCATTTTCGGGCAGTTGGATGTAGTGCTTGGAGAACATGTTGCTGCCAAAGCCCAGGACGTAGCCCTCCAGTTTGACATCGGGGTTCGGGTGGATGAACCTCAGGACGATGGTGTCTTCGGTGACATTGATGCGAACCCTCAGATTCTGCTTACTTTCTGCTGAAATCATAGCAGGCAGACATCAGCAAGGTCCACACAGAAAGCCGTTTGCTCGAGGTACAGGAACTTCAAACTTCTTTTTTTTAATCTAATAAACAATCATCTGTTTTATATTATACTTATCTTATTGCCTGCAGTTCTATTCATTGCTAAAATGTCATCCCTGTTATGGTAATAAACTATTACTCCTTGATTAAAGATTTAAGAACCGAGAAAGAGCAGATATAAACTGTCTTTCAGCATACAATGTTAAATATTTCTCCAAGTACACTAGTGTGTTTTTTTCCTTGATAGAATATCAGAAATAGCATTCTGGCATGTGGGATTACAGATCCAGGGATGAGAACTCTCTTTACTTTCCCAGGAGAAATTAGAGCAAATTTAATAATATTACCCTGGAAGTTTATGTAATTACAGTTTTCTGGTCAGCATATACAAATTCATTTTGTTTTGTTCTGTGTGGGAAAATGGGTGGATGGATAGATGGATGTTAGTCTCAAAAGGCCGCAATGCCTTCAAGTCATAAGAAGCTCATTAAAAAAATGCATAACATTGTTTTCCTTTCAGTGATATAAATAAAAAGTGTTTAGGCCCCAAATGGAACACAGCAGGTAAGTGACAGGAACCCGTGGGCACAAGGAAAAGTCATAAGGTAGGAAAGTGTTTCTCAGAAATCAGTGACTTCACCTTCCATCTGAAGCTATTCAACAGGTCTTTGGCGTGAATGAGACTGTAGATATAGTAAAGAAAGCTATCTGTGTAAGTGCTAGCACACTGGCCATCAAAGGCATACCTGGGGCCCAAATTAAACATTACAGAATCATTTTATTCCTCTCTGCCAAGTGCTACTCAAGCCACCTCCAACATCAACAGAGCTTCAGCCATGACTTGGCACACTTACTGTAGGGAATAGTCAGTGTCTGTGACTGGGTGCCAGTGAGCCTGGAATAACAGGCACAAGGATCAAGGGAACAAATGTTGATTCCTCTTGGGTTTCCCTGCTGCAAACTACAAAACCACATTCAAGAAGCTTCCAGGTCATCTCCCCCAAAAGTGCAGTTTTCACTTAAATTGTAAAATCTGTGAATTTTCTTTACCCCATGGGCCGAAAATTAAGCTTGCATGAGGCTGTTGAACTCAGTCCAGAAGGGAACAAACACAAACTCTTGCGTAGACTGTTCCGTCTCTAGAGCTTCATGTTTTTCAGCCAACCGTGGAGTGATGGATTCGATATTTCCCAATCGTCGTCTGTTTTGATATTAACATTACTTAGGACTTTTAATATGCTTAAATCATTTCCAGGAGTTTATTGCAATGCAACATATTTAATTACTGCCTCTCTCCTTTGTTTATTGAAATTCATCAGCAGTGTTCATGAGAATAGACAGATAGATAGATAATTAACTTGCTAAATAAAAGCCATTGTAAAACATAATCTGCAAAAGCTCTGAGGCTATAGCAGTTGGTATGCTGTTTAAATGCAAGGACAGGTGCTGACCAGATAGGCAGAACGTGCTACCATGTGTAAGCATAGAGCACGGTGAAGCCACAGGGAGTGAGGCAGCATTCCGCTTCAAAGTATGGCCTCAGCACAGATCTGCAGATAGCTATGATTTGTCAGTGTCCTGACTTTTACGGGTGTCAATAACCAAGAGTGAGTAAATCATGTGGGTGTATTCCCTTGGGCTACATTTTATTCAATACCATGGATTACTGAGCATAACTCTTGAACTCAATGCAATAATTATTCAGTCAGTAAAGGATAAGACAGAGTTTTCACATGAATGAATTCATGCTGATCTCCTTTTAGCTGCATGCACTGAAAATCACGTTTCTGTGTTTTGTGCAGTGACTCAGCTTTTTTTCAACGTGTCAATACAGATAGAAAGTGCACAGCTATTCATTTAAGGGATTTGTTCTCTACTTATGCTGCATGCCTAGAGTTCGCTGTTCCAGAATCATTACAATGACATGGCTGAGCCCAGTAATTAGACCATTTGATGGATTTTTGAAAACAATGTTGTGGCTTTAAAGATAAACGATCAAACACGAGCCCCAGCGCTCTGTGTCATTAAGTCCATAATTCCCACTCTCAGTCCATTCCTGAGCTGATCAACGGGTAAAGGCTAAGAGTGCTCAGATGCAAGTCCTCATTACACTAATGAAACCACACAAGCTGTTAGCTGTGCCCATGAGACCTTTATTATTCTAAATTGATTAGACAAGCAAATGGATATGAGACAAATTTGAATCCACGGCCAGGAACTGACAGCTGGGTGAATTTGGCAGATGCTCAGATCTGAGGTGGTTTCTGATGGGTCTCCCTTTGCTGGACCTGCTGGAGGGTCTCCAGTTTCTGCTCCTTTGGACACTTCCTTCAATTGTACGAGTTAATCTTTCTGAGACCATGCCAGGGTTTTTTTCAGGAGCAACACCAAGCATGGAGATACTTAAACAAATCATAACATTATTAGGGAAAACGTTTAATGTTTATGTTTCTTACAACAGAAAGGTGATCGCCGTGATCAGAAACTGCCGTAAGCAGACAACTCCAGAGACCTGAATTCCAGCGTTCTGAAGGCTACAGACTGCAGACTTTCCAATTTTGAAATGATTTTGGGTAACCGTCGCTTAGCTAATTTCAGCTGCAGCTTATATTAGATTTCACAAACAAAGGAGGTTATGAGTTATGAAGTTTGTTTTCAGATCCGAAAATGAGACATAAGGGCAGAACTATAAAGATTGTTATTCAGCTGCTCACAAAGAAGTGATTGTTTTAGAATAACACTGTAGCAAATGATGTTAAAGGTTTTTCAGAGGACAGATGTGCAAGAACTCATTTCTTTATGAATCCTTTGTGATGTGAGAAGTTTCAGATACTGTATTTTAAGCCAAAGACATATTAGCCATCATCAGTGTGCAGCATTTGAGTACCAGGCAGAAGGTTGCAGTTTCAAATCCCAGCTGGACCTGCATCCTAATTTGAAGATAACTGGCATGTTGCGTGTTTGTGTCTTAACTGGCTTCAAGTGGTTCTCTTTTTCCAAAGAGAAAGAATGTCTGAAGCTTCACACCATTTGTGTGTCCAGCCACACAAGCCCATTCTCTGTGTTTGTGTCCTGTTTCCCAGGTGAACAGGTCTCACACTGATTAGGTCCTGTACCGTCTCGCAAGTCCCCCGGAAAGCGCGCGGGCAGAAAGGCCGCGACCGTGGGGAATGTTCTCTGGCAGAGATTTTTCCAGGTGAGGGGTCGTTTTCCTGGGCTCTGAGTTATGATCACTGCTGCTACGCATGACTCACGTAGCGCTCCCAGCCCCTGCTTTCCACCACGGCCAAAGGCTTGGCCGCCCCGCTGCTGTTTTCTGCACGGTGTCCATGACTCTGTGCTGTTCCTTGCATGTTACTCATTTCCCCATTACGTTCTGTTATTTATCTCGTTAAACCCAGAATTTTCCAAGTAGAAAATTGTAAATGAAATGGTTTTTGACTGATATGATTTTAACTATGTGAACCATTAAATACTTCTGAGACCCCGGGTTAGTCCCCTGGGTAACTCTTATTTTCATAAAAAGTGTGTGCCGTTGTTCCCCTGCTTTGGGGGGTCTTGATGTTCCCTCCCTTTCTCTAGCTTATCTAGATACGACAGCAAACTGTCGATGAAGTACATGGAGCGCGGCACGTCAGGCAGCACACGTCCGAACCGCAGAGACCTGATAATCTGATGCTCCCATTGCAGATTCTATCTGTTTTCCTTCTTGTTCTGTCACCTCTCCAAAGCTTCCATTTCTGTGACAGGATGCAGGTCATTTTGTGACCTGTGTGAGTCTCGCTGAGGATTGTAGCGTCACTCTGTCAGCCGCCCAGTACACCCCCGCCTGCTTAGCCCCGTGGCCGTCGCCTCCCCCCCCCCCACCGTAGGTTTTCTCCAGAAAACAGAAAGGGGTTGCACACATTCAGGAAATGTGTTGAGGTCCATTGCACAGCAAAAGACTTTGCTGGGCAGTTCTTTCGTCCCTGCTCCTTAACTGCCACCATAAGACACCATAAGACACGGTGACACTGAGAGATGCGGCACAGTGACCGCAGGATTGACCAAAACCCTTCCAACTAGCAGCAAACCTTTGTTATCACTCAATTAGGCAATTTTACTGAACACCTCCCCCCCACTTAATAAATCATAATTGACGTGCTTGAATATTGCATAAAGGTGAGATCACGTAATCACTTTGCTGCGGTTGGCCACAGTTGGACATCTTGCAGGTCTTAATTCTGCAACCAGCTTGTTAGTGCTTTACTGACTCCTCTACTGCACCTCAAGAAGACAAAGGACGATATGAAGGGCGATATTTATAGGCAGGAATCAAACCAGTGAAGCCAAATGACACCCTAAGGGGAAAACTGTCAGAACTCTTTCAAACTGCATGTAAAAAAAAATTAAATAATAACTGCGATGACACAACTACTCATTCCATATGAGAACCAGGAATGAAAGAGTGATAACAGAGCCCCCAGAGGGAGAAATGTTGTATATACAGCGCCTGCATGGACCCCCTGCTTCTGGCGGCCACCCAAAAGGAGCGAAATTCTCCACGGCTGTGCAAGGAGTTGGAGAATGTGGCCTGTCCCCATCTGCACTGAGGTACCAGTCCAGGAAACATGCACAATGAATTTACACAGAAGGAAACATCAGACCACCTCTATCTGAGATAATGGAGTATTTTCAGCCTGGGTGCTTGTTTTGTTTTCTTTTCACGAGTGCTGAATGTCTTATTATGTAACTTAAGCTGAGCAAGGCAATCAAAGCAGCCAACTTCATGCAGTATAGAGCATGTATTTTATGCACCAGTCAGACAGTTCAGTAGATTATAGTTCTCTTTGAATTTTTTTTCCTCTCCATTCTTTGGGCATTAATCACATAAGCATGACATGATGTCCCGCTGTGCACTTTGTAATGACAAAGCACTTGCTACTTATTGCCAAAAGTTTAACCAAAAGTACTTGCTGGTGCAATTTCATTAAACAAAATGACAACAATTTACTGTGAAAAGATGCTGCAGAAATCAAATCTGCATTTGCACTTAACGCGAGCAGGCAGATTCCCACATGGAACCCGGTGTAAAATCATACATCTGTTAGAAACCTACAGCTGGTCATGCTATAAAGTCGTGGTGAATCCCAGACTATCGCTGCAGATTCACTGACCATTTCATTACCATGATCACCCCAGTTCTTATGACAAAACACAATCTTCGCATGTACCAAAACATACCCAACTTTGCTACATTTTCAAAGAGCGATCTTTCAACATAAAATATATTTTGAAAAACGAATAATACATGATACATTATAAATATGTTATTTAGACCCCTCAGGGAGAATTATGACCCAGAGAACATCTGATAAGTGATGAGCAGTATATCAGGCACAAGAACATCGGCAGGTAATATGCCACTGCACTTCTCTGCAGGACAAGGTTTCCACATGCTCAGTGAAAGAGACCCAAGTCAGCCAAGTGTCAGAGCACCTGTGCCACTCCATGCGCACAAGCAAGCATGCATGCATAAATGCAGCAACGCACACTAACAAACTGAATCATTGCAATAACTAGTGTTCACACACAGAGACTCAATTTCCTGGACTTTAATCAAAGCATTTCTGATCTATGCAAATAAAATCTGTTTAAATAAATAAAGCAATTCTGCTACTGCAATTGTTTTTTGCTGATGTACTTGCCTCTAATTCTCTGTGACAAGCTGTAGCTGATGAATACAATCCCAACCAGCAGCAGGATGGTCATTCTAAGGATCATCATGCCTGTCTTAATGTCTTAGCACAATAATGGATGACTTCACTAAGGTAGTAGCTTGCTTAGGACTTAACCTCAGCACGTAAAGCTGCTGACTGATACAGGGAGCAGGTCCGGCCAGCATCTATACCAATGGAGGGAGGGGACTTCTGATGTCATACCCACCGCCCCGTCCAAAGTGCTACTCCTGGGGGGTAGAGAGTGGAGCTTTGCTTAAATCTTTCCTCCCCTGTTCTCTCTCCTTTTTCTCCTCATTTGCAGAACCGGTCCCACCTCCTCTGTTCACTAGCTTTCTAACTACCAAACTCTCATTGTTTAGAAAGTTTCATTCCCTTCCCTCCAACTAGGTTCTGCACGGGCCACCGCTGAAGCAGAGGTAGGTCAGCCACCTTTTCCAACAGCATTCTGAGGTGGTGCATCGCTGCACCGGGATACGAACTGACTGACTGCTTTACCCACGACACAGATGGGGCAGAGGGAGAGCAGATGTTCCCGTGTTTATGTCGTTGATTTGGAATCGATTTCACCAACACAACATGTGCCGCTGGACTACAAACTGGAGAGCCATTCCAGCCCCTGGCGCTTATGCAAACATCCACTCCCGCTGAGCTCCGTGCCAATCAGCCAGGCCGTCCTGCCAAAAGACCAGTCCCCTTAGGCAGGGGGCGTGTCTCAGCCAGTCCAGGGACCTCCAGACAAATCAACGATTATGAGGCGAGCCCTTCCACATGTGTTGGTGCACGTGACATGGAGGCTGGGAAGATTCCAGAGAAGGCAATTTCCTAAAGGACAAATGCATTCAACTGTCAATCAGTCAGGCTTTCTGCAATGGAGCCATTGTATGCAAGAGCACCAGAGTGGGCTGATGCTTAACAGTAACATGCACATTTGTGCTGTGTGAATGTTGCAAAATCTTTTTTAAGAAAAACTAAATGAAAAGATACATTACAACCTGCATCAGTGGTGTATTACATGCAGGAAATACAAAGGTGATGCAAATTTTGGGATTGCTCCTTCAGGACTGAAAACCCACACTATTCTGGCGCCTTGCACAGGATACATTTTTGCTCCGTCATGAGACCTAGGAGAATCATCAGGAACTCCCGGTGTCACAAGCAGGGCTCAGAGCACTCAGTTAAACCTTGTTTATTTGCTTTCACGATGGAGTCAGACAGAGCAGCCCGTACCGAGCAGGGCTGTCTGCCTGATGGTCTCTGAGAACTTTGAGCAGCACATCACAGGAAACAGGTGACCAGTGGGACCAGGTGCGCAGCTCCAGGATAAGGTGCACAGAAATCAGACGTAGGGTGGAGCACCAGGAAACCAGGACAGGGGAGACGGCAAATGAGGCTGAAACACAATAACAAACCTATATAATGACACCGGTTGCACAGCAGACCAGCTGCAGAACTCTGGCTAAACATGACTTGTAACATGGAAACAAGATGCCAGCACTAAGAAACACAAAGTTGGTGACAACAATGGCAATCCTGAGTAAGACTAAAGAATAAAAAAAGAATAAAGTAAAGCGAGCCTCGGAAACTCAGAAGCAGGACTCTGAACCAAACTGAGCTCTGAAGCTTGTGCTCGAAAAGCAGTGATGATGACTGGGCACTAGTCACAACAATATGCTCACTGCTCTGTCTAAATGGGTTTCAGAACCTGCTGCCTCTGACTCAGAGGAAGATCATACAGATCTTTCTCAATTAACTGATTATGATTCGATACAGGTGTAACATGGTGAGGTGTGTTTCACTCACCATGAAGAGCATGGATGCTAATTAAAATGGTCAACACTTACTGTCAATGGTGTGCAGGTTAACCTTGGCCTTAACTATCATCAATAGAATAAGAATTTTTGGTAACACTTTCAATGAACGCCATGTCTATAACAATCTATGAATACAGTCGTAACATATTATAATACATTCATAAAGCATTACCAACAAGGCTATACATATTTATAAAAAGGCATAACACATTATAGCAATGTTTATTATGCATTATGAATGCTTAATGAAGCTATTATCTATAATGCACTATGAAGACCTTCATAATTCAGTACAAAGCGCCCTTAATTCTTATAATTATTTTTGATCCCTGTGGGGAAATTGTCTTTGCACCTCTCCCATCTTGCTCTCTGTAGGTCCTGCAGACATGCCGAGGCTGTGCTCAAACTGGCAGCCTTCATAGGCACAGGCTTAGCCCACTGAGCCACACGCTGCCCTACATTATAACCCATTATAATGCATTATGAAGGTATCTATAGTACATTATATATAAGAGCTTCATTGGAACTTATGAAGTATAATAGTCAACATTATAATGCCTTACGTCTGTCAATAGAAGATGCTATAATGCATTATTAATTCTTTTACCGACCATTATAATGCATTATGAAGGTATATATAATGCATTGTAGTTGACAGGTTTAAGTAAAGTGTTACTGAATGTTTTTTTACAGGCAGCATAGTGGCACTGTGGTCTCCCCGTGCCTCTGGTGAACTGGATTTACCAAATCTGTGGCTGATAGGTACTGATTAGGAAATCAAGACTTACATTAAAGCAATTCTGTCTTCCAGAACAGAGTGGCCGTTCAGCCAGCCCAATAAATACAAACATATTTAAATAAAAAATAAGAAAAAAAAATACAGAGGAACAAGAGTTCTTAGTAGTTGAGTTCAATAATTGTACACTAAGCCATTTTGCTTCTATAATACATAACAGATTGCTCCTCCGGCCGGCAACCAATGGGATCATTTCATTGGCTGTGTAGTTATCAGAGAAATTTCCCATCATCCAGTGTTTTTTTCCTGGAGTGATGCTCAGAGTGTAAGATAGGTTTACTGTTTGGTTACTGTTTGGAAAGCAGTAAAATGCTGATGTGCACATTTTCGGAAAACTACAAACACAGAACAATTCACAAAAGCATCCATTGTTTGCAGATTGACCCAGTTTTAAACAAAGAAGTACTGACTATTATAATCACATGTGACACCAACTATAACTTAAAAAATTTGAACTATTATAGTTGTTATTGTTTTATGCATCCTTTAATGACTTTGTTGCTTTTTCCTTTGTTCAAAACTAAATTTGGTATTCATTTGAATAAAAAAAAAAAAAAATAAATCACACACAAGGAGACATCTGATATATCTGTGTCATTGTACCTCATTTCAGTAATGGAACCCCAGACATACAGTAACTCTACCCCCCAATTTTCTGATTGCCGAAAGTTTCTACGCAACAGCTACAAAGTGGACAGCAAACGGCTAAAGTCATTGGATGTCTGGACATTGCTTTACATGAAAATGTCCATGATCTCATTGCTTTGTTGTTGCTTGCTGTTTTTAAAACATTGGGCTCTTATCTTTAGCTTAAGTCTTTAATTTAAGAGTAGTGACGGCAACCCAACTGCATGAGGAACCAAAGGCGCTTCCTCAAGATGTCTTTGTTCTGGACAACAAAGATCTGCAAAGGAGCCAGCATTTCTATTACGAAATTAAATATTTTGCTTTTTTGCTTCATTGACAGTTGACTGAAGAGTGCAGATAAATTTTGAGCTTCGGTTTGCAAACACAGGAAATTCAGGATCACATGCAACAGACAGACTATATGCACCTTGACTTGATGCTACCCTTAGGAATGTGCAAAAAATTGTGTTAGAAGGACCACGGGCTCTTGGTATTAGTGAAGCACAGAGATCACTGGAGGGATGTAGGTTCCTGTTCAGTTTAAGCTATGCTTCCTTGTGTTGATATCATTTACAAACATCTGAAGCATAAATCTCTTAGTCAGTGTTTCATTGGCCTGATACAATAAGTGCTATGATTATGTTATTGGCTAGTGCAGTTGGCTAACATCTCTGAAGATCTATGTGTGTGGAGCTTGCATGTTCTCCGCTTGTCCTTGTGGGGATTCCTCTGGGGACTCTGATTGCCCCCCCCCCCCCCAATTCAAAAATATGCTGAAATGGATTGGAGTTGCCAAATCGTCTGTAGGTGTGTGTGTGTGTGTGCCCTGTGATGGGTATATGCGGCTGTTGTTTCTGGGCTAGACTCTGGACCCCCGCAACCCTGTTCAGGACAAGCGGCACAGAAGATGAATCAATTATTATAACAGCATATTTATTTCTTCAATATGAACAGGCCACATTGATTTATACACAATCAACTGGATAAATAATGAACATTGTCTTTAACAGCAACCAGATACTTACATCTGATAGGAAGGAAAATGTCTGAAAAAGGTAAATGAATCCCATTTACACAGAACAAGGAGAAGGAAATGAAAAACAAACATGTAGGATGTAGCATGTGGTTCTGTTCCATAACAAGGAGCCAGAGGAAACAAACCCTCACTCTCCATGCCAGTGGAGACTGGAGCAGGATGCTTTAATGAGATCAAAACTTCCTCTTGATGCCAGACTCACCAAGGAAGACAGATGCCTATCTGCTGCATCAGACAGCAGAGGATTATGGGAAGCTGCACAATACAGAACATGTTATGAGCTGCTCCCTCTGCAAAGTAGATTATTGCATTGTCATAAATAATCTCCACGCCATGGACAACAGACACCAGACTCTCTACATGTGACAGTAAGATAGTTGCGTAACATACTATAACATGATTATTATTTTTCATTCATTTTTTTAACAAAACATAGCAACAGGACCTGGAATGTTTTCCCAGACATTACAGCATTGAAAAATTCTCCACAGTCAATAGAAAATCTTTCTTGCTTTCAGAACAGCATGTACCACCGGTTTGTGAATTTTGGGCCTTTCTACAACATGCAGCCTGGTGCCCTCTTCCTTGCCATGATGGTCTGGGGGTTTCTGTGAACTGAATAAGGCCATTAAACAGGCTGAATCAGTGACATGGGTCGACCTACATGAGCTGCATTCCTTTGTGTGCTGCAGTCCCTTTCTGCATTTAATCTAGATTTTTTTTGCTTTAATTAGTAAATATATATTTACTGAAATGACTGCGGCATCTGCCTCAGAACAAACATAGGAAAGAGTGGCAATAGAGATTCCTACCTCTGATAACAGTATATTTGCAAAAATAGTTAATTGCCCCCCCCCCCAAAAAAAAAAACAAAAAAAAAAGTCTGAGTGTCCTGGGGT